TCATCATCATCATCATCATCCTCATCATTATCCTCATCATCATCCTCCTCATCATCATCATCATCATCCTCCTCCTCCTCATCATCATCATCCTCATCATCATCATCATCAGCATCATCATCAAAACCACCACCGGCCCCACCAGCACGGTTTTTGGGGGTTAGACAGAAACAGCAGTGTGTCTCCCGACAAAACACAATTTCCCTTTCCTTTTCAGTTTATGTTTAAGCCCTTGCCGGTTAACAAGCGATCAATTAGAGCTGTGTTTACTGTGTACTGTCGGGTGACCACTTGCACACACATCGCCGTTTCCTAGGTAACGCTCATAACATGCCATTTTCCCTGATCCATTTAAAGAAATCTGCGTCCAATTGAATCGTTATCCCTGAGGGAGGGAGAAGACTTTGATACTGAAAACAATGCTGCTTATTCTAATTGGACGGCAAGATCTGCACCAACATTGTTAAGCGACCACATCTTAATTGGGAATGCACCTCGCCGTTGGCATCGTGTAAGAGTGAAAATACTCATACACAAATGCATGAGCCAGCATCAGAAACCACTCCTGGATTAAACAAGCATCATCTGCGAATGGCGGTGAATATGTGAGTCGGAGCCACTTTTGGCGAAGGTCAAACCATGCCAGCCTCCTGCCACCAGCAGTCCTAGCGACCTACGCCCCCCGCCTTGAGTCGCATCGCCGATCCGTCTAACAATCAGTCGTCTAGACCAACTCAGACGCAAAGAAACGGAATCTGGCTAGACTCTGGGCGAGAGATGAGACCAACTGGCACTTTGCTGACCAGGTTTTATGCAGCATTCTCAATCTCGAAATATAACGGTCGCCTTCGATTCAGACCGACTGGTAGTCTAGACAGGGGGACGGTTAACTTATGAGTCATAACTCGGTAGAGCTCAAGGATTCTTACTTATCCAGAAACTAACGTTCCTATTGACCAACGTATACAAATTATTCACCCTCTAATCGTATAGTATCGTTTGACGTGGTCAAACTATTTACATCTATGGCACCAGACTTGATACGCTGGGTTCTGACCAGACGAGTTAGAAAGTACAGTGAATTGCAAGGATGTCTCAATGTCAAGAATCCGTCGGAACTCCTAGACCATTGCCAACGAACTATCACCTGTGATGGTAATTAGATCAATCTAACTCCGAACGATGGCCCAACCGAGGCGACCTGTGCATGAATTTTTTTAGAGTTGTATTCTCGCTAGCTAATTCTCCATATAATTCGCCATACTACTCAAATCCCCTTCCCAGAACTTTGGGTACAGTGCGATGACGAAATGGGCCGGACTGGCATGCATGATGGTAAATCCGGCTGCATAAATCAGTACTCTTACTTATGAACTGTACATTTGAAACAGCGACAGTTTGAGCCAGACAACGCCGCCCGTTTCGCTCCTCCAAGTAACGGCTTGATGCTTGCGTGCAAGGGGATGAGAGCTGCCGACATTTGTTCGTTCTATAACCATGCTGCCCAAATCGGTATTCGCAATCTTCAACCGTAGACTTCTGAATGGGTCCCGAAGTTTAGCCAAATGGAGCAACTGGTTCGATTGTTGGATATCCCTTTTCATCGCAAAAAGGACATATAACTTACTTACTCACTTCCATTCTCAAATAGTGATAGTTTAATTCGGAATTGGTTTCTGATGTTGGTTCATGCTCTTGTGTGCGAATGCTTTTACCCGTGATGAAATTGCGGAGATTAACGACGCGAATTTCGGTCACCGAACAGTCATCACACCGAGTCAAACAATCCCCGACGAGGGGGAGGGGAGTCGTGAATTTTCATATGTATGCGGTAGCATGGTGACTATATCCTATGAGTGCTGCAGCCGCTTGTGCATAAATCACCCGTATCCGCTATTGCCTCCGATGATAGGTTCAAGCAGGAATCCGGAACGCCATGCGAATAAGGCTCCTGTTCCAGCAATCGTGTCTCTCTCTTCACGACAGTTTCCTGGGACTCGTTTCTTCGCTTCTGTTGGCAATGTTTTTACTCTTATGCACACACTGTATAAGCAGCCTCAATGGAGATACGTTTGCCTGAATATGGCAATGCAGACGTTACTGTCTAAGCTGAATAAGCAGTGTTGTTCCGAGCATTCAAAATTTTCCTCCCTCAGAGATAGTGATTCAACTGAGCGCATATACCTCCGAATGGATCAGGGTAAATGGAATGTAATGGGCGTAGCGTAGACAGCAGATATTTGTCGGTACGAGAATTCGGCCATCAGAGCTTAAGGTGTAGGAAGCTGTATATGTTAACTGCTAGGGTCGTTACTCAGTGCTGATATTTTTTCCTGAAAATCTGGCCACTAAAACACCATCTCTCGGCGATTCGGTGCATTCCTCGCCAAAGTAAATCTGACGCGACTAAACCATGTCGCGAAGTGCCACTCGTCATTGCTCCCTCGTCTGTCAACAAAAAGGATAACCCAATCCTTCTGAGAACCCGGGATCCAGTTACGATTGCTGTGTCAAAATCTGACTTCTATGATTCTGCGTCGCCCTTACCGGTCGTGCTGCCCCAAAACGGGCCACGCGGTGGGTGTACTAGACCAACGCCACACGGGATTATTGGGATGCGCACCATATCAAATGCCAACACGTTGGGGTGCGGTGGCAGACCCAGTTGCCGACAGAGGTCGCACGCATTGGGATCCCCCCCATTTTTGTTGTTCGTTAAAATCTTGGCTAATTTTTTGTAGATCGGGGGGTGTGGAGTGGAGCGGCGAGGGGGGGCGACCGTGTCATCCACCTGCGCCCCCCTCTGCCTCCGGTCTTCTTGACTCCCTCGTGATACGTGTAGACTTCGCCTAGCATCCATTTGCTGGCACCCACCTGTGGCTCTTCGAAGCTAGTCTCTGCCTAGCGGCAACACCCCGGTAACCGTCTCGATCGAGGGGAAAAATCAGGTGAGTGTATGGTGTGTGCATCTCCGCATACAGTAACTCGACTAGGATGAGCGGATGGATCACCGCGTCGGCATCTCTGAGATGAGGCTCCGTCTGCAACCTCACAGTAGGCCTCGAGCACTCAGCAACCTACTGACCCAGTGGCTAGGAGACATGTCCTATTCTACCTCTCTGCACGTATTCTCGGTAAGATCGCAGTTGGTAGGCAGACATTATACGTTGATGCTGTCGACGTACGTACTTGTTATCAGTAGGTGTGCTCTCACTGAGTTAGGCAGGTCACCCGTTTCGGCAAGGCTGCAGGGTTAAGTGCGGGTTAGGATTAGGATTTGCGTTTTAGGGTCAGGTTTCAGTGTTACTGTTAGGGTTTAGGTTCCTGTTAGGGTTAAGGTTAGTGTTAGGGTTAAGGTTAGGGTCAAGATTAGGGTTGAGGTTATGGCTAGGCTTTGGGTTAGCGTTGGGTTTTAGTATTTTGGTTACGTTTCGCTTTTGAGGCTTACGGTTAAGCTTTACGGTTGCGGTCATGGTTGGATTTTAGAGTTAAGGGTAGGTTTTAAATTTCTGCCATTATTCCACCTACTTAATACTTCCCAACACTTCCTTCGCTAACTCTACTTTTTTCCACAAACTCCAGCATTCCTCTACCAGCCCTTCCATTTTCCCCACCCATATAACCAGCTTTCCTACCATTCCCGTACGACAGGGACCTGGCTGTCCGCCTCCCCACTCCTGGCTACCAACTGCGATCTAGCCGTATTCTTCGTCCCTCACTATCTCTACTCTCCTACCCCACGGTCGGAAGCCCCACGGATCATCGCATCGCCATCTCCAGGATGGGGCTTATTACGTAACACTCTGGCAGCTTGGAATAATCGTCCCCATTTATACAATCCGAGGAGCAACCGACCGGAACGGAGGACGGCACTAGTGGCTCGGAAACCGGTGCGCTATAAGGTGGACATCGAGGCACTCTGTGAGACCCGATTCTCAAAACACTGCCAACTGGAGGATGTGGGTGCCGGCTACACCTTCTTCTGGGGCAGTCGCCCCAAGGCAGAGCAAAGAGACGCAGGCGTCGCCTTTGCCATCATGGGACGACTCCGAGGATTTGTACGCCCTCCTGGCAACTATACCGATGGTGGATAAAAAGGTTGTCCTTGGTGACTTCAACGTTTGGGTCGGCACAGATCATGCTGCCTGGAGAGGAGTGTTGGCTTCCAATGGTCTCGACGGTTTCAACTACAATGGCCTGCTCCTCCTGCGAACCTGCGCAGGACACCGACTCATACTAACCAACGCTTCTTTTGCATTTCGACGCGGGAAAACGCGACCTGGCTGCGTCCTCGGTCGCGACACTGGCACCTCCTGGACTATGACCTTCTTCGAAAACGAGACCAACAGGAGATGCTGGTGACAAAGGCGATTCCGGATCCCGACGGGTGGACCAACCATCACCTCGTCATCTTTAAGATGAGGATCCGCCTACAGCCATGCAAGAGACCAGCAGGTAAGCTGAATATTACTTTTGTGCTTTTGCTTGCTCACCATCTCCATTTCAGCAATGAGCTAGCCCAAGGACTAACAAAGCTTCCAGTCGTCTCCGTCGTCACAGACGACGACGCTTCCGTGGAGAACAGCGGGACACGGCCCACTTTACGGCCCTGGCTGTCCTCGGTTGCGCACGTCGCCAACATCGGCGCTGGTTCTATGACAATGACGTCACCATCAGCAACCTGCTCGCCGAGAAGAATTGCCTGCAGAAAGCCTACGTCAACCACCCTACCAACGACAACAGAGCATCCTTCTACCGTAGTTGCCGCCTTGTGCAACAGCAACTGCAGCACACCTGGGCCGCTCTCAAGACCGGAGAGATCCAGGAATACGCAGACCGCGACTAAAGCTGTCTAAGGTCCGTCAACCAAAGCAACTGCTTCTCTTCTGAGCGCCGACAGAATTACCCTACTCACTGCGAAGACGCAAATGCTGCAGCGATGAACTGAGCACTTCAGAGGCCTGCTCAACCTCCCCCATCTCCGAGGTCGCCATCGTCTGTCTGCCTCAAGTGGAGACCAACGTCGACCTCGACCTCCCACCCTCTCTCCACGAGACCATTGGGGCCGTGCGGCAACTCTCCAGAAAGAAAGCGCCTAGATCAGACACGTTCCTCGCTGAGATTAACAAGAACGGCGATCCCCGACTAATGGATTACCTGACAGCTCTCTTCCAGACATGGCGCCAACTACAAGTCCAACAGGATTTCAAGGACGCCACGATCGTCCATCTCTGCAATCGGAAAGGGAACCGCCAACTTCGCGACAACCACAGAAGCATCTCGTTGTTCAAAATTACCGGAAATATCTTTGCTCGCGTCCTCCACAACCGTCTCAACATTTATCCGGGACAGGGCTTCCGGTCGGAAAGCCAGTGCGGATTCCGCTGTCATCGTGTGACTACGGGCATGAACTTTGCCGCTCGCCAACTGCATGATTAGTGTTAGGAGATGGGGGCTCACCTCTTCTCTACCTTTGTGGACCTGACGGAAGCCTTCGAAACGGTGAATCATGAAGGACTGTGTATGACCATGCAAAAATTCGGCTGTCCCGAGCGATTCATTCAGATGGTGCGTCAGCTCCACGACGGCATGTCGGCGTGAGTCACGGACAACGAAGCTGTCTCAGAGGCATTCGCAGTGACCAACAGAGTGAAGCACGGCTGCGTCCTCTCGTCCACCCTCTTCAGTCTCATGTTCTCTGTCATGCTAATGGACGCATATCATGATGAGCACCCCGGGATCCGCGTCGTCTACAGGATGGACGGCCAACTCCTCAATCGTCGGCAGATGCACTTACAGTCGCATGTATCCACAAACTCCGTCCATGAACTTGTCCTCGCCAACGACTGCGCCCGCAACACCAACTCCGAAAGAGACATGCAGAGCATTAACCTTTGACAACTTCGATCTAATCACCAGCATGGAGAAAACGGTGGTTATGAATCAACCGCCGCCCAGCGTTGTCTAAACTGCACTTCACATCAAAGCAAACGGTGTCCAACTGCAAGCCGGCGACACCTTAACCTACGTGAACAGCACCCCGCTCGCAGTACCAAAATCGACGATTAAGTGGCCTGCTGGATTTTCAAGGTCAGTCAAGCCTTTGGCCGCCTGTAAAACGCCGTATGGAATCGTCACGGTCTTCACCTCAATACCAAACTCAAGCTGTACGAAGCAGTCATTTTGCCGATGCTGGTGTATGGAGCTGAGACCTGGACGGTGTACGAAAAACAAGCACGAAGTATTGACCACTTCCACCTCAGCTGTCTACGACGGATGCTGAGGCCGAGGTGACAGGACCGGATCCCGGGCATGGACGCACTGGAATGGACGTGAATCATCAGCATCTACGCTAGGCTGAGACAGCTTCAACTGCGCTGGAGCGGCCACCTCGCGCGGATGGACGACGGGCGGTTATACAAACGGCTCCTCTACGGAGTTGTCGTCGGGGCTCCGGCCGACAAAGTGAACTCCGGTGCTACAAGGATACCCTAAAGACTTCCCTGAAGCTTCTGCAGCTAAACCCGGCCAACTGGGAAGACCTTGCCCTGGACAGATTGACGTGGAGGAGAGCCGTGAAGGCAAGCGCAGCAATCAACGAAGCCAACCTCATCATTGCCGTCAAAGCGAAACGAGAAGGTCGCAAAGCACAAATTCCTTCGCTTCGCAACGCAAACACTTAGCCTCAATCAACATGACCATGTTGTCAGCTGACGCTCCGGGCGCCAATCGACCTCGTAGGACACCTTCGGACCCAACACTCCAACAACCCGACGACACCTACTGCTTCCACTCTCGCGTCTGCTGCAGACCCCTCGAAGGCGGCCATGCCAGTCACCGCCTATCACGCTGTCGCTGCCCCACCGCCATCAATCACCGGCACCTCCCGCCCTGCGATGAACACAGCAACCAGCTCCACCAACACCAGGACATCACGCATTCCCCCTCTGATGGAACGACTTCCGACGTCCCATCATCACCAACACTCCCAGCCCCAGCGATATGGACTCAATCCATACCTGTCCCCACTGCGATCGCATATTCACCTCACACATCGGCCTGGCCGGTCTCTTGAGAGTTCATCGTACAGGGACTGGCGAGCCAGTGCCTGGGGAACTCGCTGCATCCTCCTCAACTGTCTGCAGTCCCGCCGTACATTCACTCACCGCACGGGGCCTACTAGGTCACATGCGTATCCACAAGAGCAGAATTCAACGCAGTCCCGACACGCCTAGCACATTTTGCACATCCACCATGCCTAGCCTAACCCCCATCACACCGTGTCCCCTTATATTCCCCTCACACATCGGGACTGGTAGGTCACTTACGAGGCTGGCGAACCAGTGCCTGGAGCACCGACCTGCATTCGCCGCGTCCGCCTAAACTGCCCTCGCCGCCAGCGCACACCCAGCCACCACATGGGCCTGTTAAGTCACATTTACGAATACCTGCGATAGACAACCCCCGGGTTAAAACACACCACCAGACCTTTCCCCACCGCCACCCGCACCACACAACAGCATCACCCATTGTCACACAACGCAGAACACTTAATTACCACCTCCCACGCAAATGGAATTGTGCTTCTCGGCTCGTTCTCCATGTGACTACTGTGCTATGTATGCTCCAAGTCTGAAAAGGTCATGGTGCGCCAAGTGTCGTAGCTTGAAAGGTCGCCAACTGACGTCTCCATTCAGACCACGCAGTCTGCCCAGTTGTGTGGAGTGGCGGACTGGCGTGCTGAGAGTCTGGGTGAAACGACTCCTTCTCAACGTGACCTCTGGCACTCTCACAGATGTGAGGAGAGTGCGTGTGTGTTTATGCCTCTCAGTCGACGACTGCCTGGTAACCGACATTTGAAGGGTGATGGCCCAGCCCAAATGCAGGGTTGCGTGTCACCCTTCTGGGCTTTAAGGACTGTGTGCCTCTGCCATGCCATGATTCAGCAAAGCATGGTCCTTGCAGCCTGGTGTGCGCTGACAGGTAGATACGTTTGGGCTACCGCCATGTTGTGGCCAGGTTGTTGTGCTGTTGTTTGTAAAAATGCTGGTCAAGTGCTTATTGTAGACCAGGGGATGTGGTGGTACGCCTAGGTGCGGGTCCGGACGTGCCAACCACCTGCACGCTCTCCCGCCTCGGGTCTTCTTGACAATATTTTGAAACTGGTCCCGGGCGCAGAGGAAGGGGGAGAGCGGTAGGCACTGCGCACAAATCCCCGTGCCTGCCTCACCTTGCTGTGGAGCACACGATGGGCATCGTCGGAAACGACGGTCGATCTGTGTGTGTGAGTGTGTTCAACCCCATTGTGTGAAATCCTGGTGCTTGTGTTGGGGGGGGGGAGTCAGGTCGTGCATGTGGCGGGCGTAGACAAGGTCAGTACATATGTCAGTCACCACGCCCATTCCGCACATCAGTCAACTGACCGGCTCGGACGGCGGCCGGGGCCCGAGGATGGGAAGGGAGAGTGAGGTCGACGACTCAACGCATTTTACACACTATAAACAATCTGACGCGCCTGAAGCTATCACGATGGTCTAAAAGCCATGTCTTAGAAGGTCGCAACTGACGGGATAACTTGGACCTCACAGTCGGCCCAGTGTTGTGTGTGCTGCAGTTGTGGAGTGGTCGGCTGGGGTTTGAGAATCAGGGTGTTGTCTTTATGGCACTCCCACCCCGTGGATCGGAGCCGGGCGTGGGAGACACGTCTAGGTGCGGCTTCGGCAGTGCCAAACTCCATTTTTTCGTCGTTGTTCGTTAAAATCCTGGTCAATTGTGTGTTGTGGACCAGGGAGTGTGGACTGGCACGCCTAGGTGCGGGTTCGGCCGTTCCAGCAACCTGCGCATTTCCCCCACACCTGCGCTCTTCTTGACTCTGCCTTGACACCGGGTCCATGTGGGAGGTGGTGAAGAGAGAGTGCGGCAGACGCTGCGAAAGTCTACTATCACATCAAACTGATTCCCGTGCAAGTCACCGTGTCTGCTGAACCTTGCGGTGGAGCACACGGTGGACAACGTCGGCAACGACGTTCAAACTGTCGCGTGTGTGTCAGGTGCAGGCCAGCTGCCTAACTTTGCCGGACATTGCGTCCGCAGTCCGTTTCAGTGTTTTTGACATCTAAGCGAGATAGACGGGGGAGAATCAAAGATATTTTGCGCCGACTCACCGTTGCCGCTGCGGCGGGCGTTGTCGGTAGGCCGGTCGTGATTTTAAAAGTTTGTTCTCATGTAGCATCTCTAGTAATAGGGGGACTTGAACTTTCTTCTCAACGTACTAATCTTGAGCACTTTTGCCAGAAACGACAATGAGACTGTCGTCATACGAAGGAGAGTCCTAAAATGTCCTTACTGGGAACACACGATACAGCGGATTGCGCACCATGTGAGGGCAGGCATCTCAATGTGAACAGGAAGGTCCAGACACCAGAAAATCTGTACGTGTGTACGCTTCACTCACCAGCATATGTAAATTCAAAACGCCCGCAAGGATCTGAGTGTGCGCAATCTTATGCAACCAGCAAGATTAATAATTACCGGAATGAGTCCAGGCGTCTGCACTAGAGAGGAGTAAGTGGCCGACGTAGATGATAGCGACTGTGGATTATTCCTTCACGGGGCAACCTGTTTTAACTGAATTATTTGAGTGAACAGTAAAGCGTTGTCGGAGTGCTTTCAAACCCATCAAGAGTGCAGCTAGCAGGATAGCATGCGGCTGTAAACTGGCGCCCGACAAAATGCCACTTTGAAAGCATTCTTGAGACTGTCATAATAATTTTCTTAAAAATTTTAATGATGAACTACGGGCAAGTAGGCATCAAAAGACTTCAAAGCCGTTAGGTTCAAATCGGATATGTCGTGTCAAATCAAGATGATTCCCTTTTAACATCTATCACGTCTGACGGATATGAAGGGTCTTAACAACATATTAGAGTTTAGAAATATATAAATTAGTTAAATACACCACTGAAGTCTGCAACGAAAATATACATATATGTAAGGAAGACGAACAGCCGATCTCTGGGACAGTAGGTGCAATTAGACCGAGCTTTCGGTCTCGTACAGCAGGCCATCGTCAGAGACTGTGGGAATGCGGCAGGACCGGGATGGTTCTTTACAACAAGAACCTGGGATTCGCATATTCGCTTCCATCCATATACATATATAATTCTATAATCTAGAACTCTATAATCCTATAGAGTTCCAACCTTGGTAGGCCGGTTTGCCCTCAAGTAGCATAATCTTCTCAACGTACTAGTCTTTAGCACTTTTGCCAGAAACGACCCGCAAATCTATTCATTGAGTGTACATGATAGAGCGGCTTGAACACTGTGTGAGTTCAGGCATCTCAATGTGAACACGGTCTAACCTCCCAAAAAATCCGCACGCGCACCATAAGTAAATTCAAAACGCCCACAAGGGTCTGAGTGTGCGCGATGTTGTGGCAGCCAGCCAGATGGATAATTCTCGGAAATAACTCAAACATCTGAACCAGTAAGGAATCTGTGCGTTTAACCGATAATTTAACTATAACAAACATGAAAGGAATTAACGAGTCATATGGATGTTAGTAACAGAAATTTCTTCCCCTAGAGGGCAATCTGTTTTAACAGAGTCATTTGAATGAATAGGAAAATGTTGTCTGAGTTTTTTGACATCTCTCAGGAGTGCATCTAGTAGGATAGCGTAAGGCTGTACACTAACGCCTGACCAAATATCCCTGCGAAAGCACCTTTGAGACTGTCATAATAATTTTCTCAAACATCCAATGATGATTTAAGGACACTTAAGCATCAAACGACTTCAAAGCCGTTAGTTTTAAAAAAGACTATGTTGTGTCAAATCAAGATGTTTCCGGTTTCAACATATATCCTATCCCAGGGAGATGAAGGGTCCTAATAATA